TACACACATAGTCGGCGTCGGGATGAACCGCGCAAAAATCCCCTTTGATTTCATTCAGTGACGTTTAGAAAGGTGATGTCACAACATTAGTGCTACGGGAAGAACTCCCAGTGTCAGGAGTGCCACGACATTAGTTATGCGCAACATTTCTTCTACTGTAAAATCTTAGACAGCCTTTTCTTATACGAGACATTGCTATTACTGCAAAATTTCATACATGACGTGAGTGCTACACGACAAATGGTATGATGCAACAACTTTTTTTAGTCACTTCTTATGCAGCAAATACTCTGCCGTCCTTGCTTGCATGCAACATTACTTCGACTGCAAATACTCCTATACGACATAAGGGCTGCACGACAAAACATATGCTGCGAAAACATACACAAGTCATTGCTTCTACAACAAATACTTCATTGTAGCACTAATGTTGCGTTTAAGTCTTTTCTACTGTGGCACTAATGTCGTACGTAAGTATCTGAAGCAGGGATAATGACGGGTTAGCGTTTTGCAGCATCAGTTTTTCAGTGTAGCATTAATGTCGCACATAAGTATTTGTAATAGAAGTAATGTCGTTTAATAGTAATGACTGCACAGGCGTTTGCAGTGGAAAAAATGACAATTATAAGGCTTTGCAGCAAAAATTTTGTCGCGTAGCACTAATGTGTTGTGAATAAGCATGGGCAGTAAAAGTAATGTCGTAGCACTCCTGTCGGTAGGAGTTGTTGTTGCAATGTCGTGGCACTCTTGTCGGTAGGAACTCTTGTTGCTATGTCGTGGCACTCCTGTCGGTAGGAGTTCTTGTTGCAATGTCGTAGCACTCCTATCGGTAGGAGCTCTTGTTGCAATGTCGCGGAACAGATATACCAAGTTGTACTAGGTTACGTTGAGCGACGTTAGGATAGGTTAGGTTCTAGACACTATTGTCTATCCTAAAGCTCAGGTTGGGTTTTGCTAAGCTAGGTTAGCATGCGTTAGGCTAGTTTAAGTTTGACTAGGCTCACATATGGTGCAGAACTGGCCTGTAACGGACTGAGCAGCTGGCTGACACCAGACATGACGTGCGCGGCGCTACTCGTAGAAATAACCATGGTCGGGGGGCCAGTCTAAAAATTGTCTTTTTCAGGTGGTCATGCTGTTCGGAGCGTCGCATAGAAAACGGAGACCAAGCGAGATTTCCAAGTATTTCCGGAATGGCGACGCTTGGTGTAAACTAATCCTCCACGGCATGTCCCCTCTCTGCACTCGATCAGTCACGCCTTAACGCGGCTCGTGCTGGGACATAACAAAGCCAGCTGCCCCATAACGGGGCCCGATAAAATACAACAGACGCTGGCGCCGCATCGATCGGCGCCGTGTTGGCGTTCCTGACGCCTGACGCCTGAAGCATCGTTCTTATCGCATAACGTTCTCGCCACGATCCAGAAGGCCAGGAAAATTGTATGGAGCGGGTATTTGATAGATCTTTGGAGATTGCTCGCGACCAATAACCATTACTTTTCACCAGGCAGCCCATGCAAGTGTCGGGTCTTTTGTCGTGTTAAGGCACGGATGTTTATCAAGATACTGATCTTGTCAAGTCGGTAGAAGGAGTGCCTTATTCAAAACCCTCGTTCCTATCCAACAACTCTCTTTACTTTGCTGACAAGGCCAAACGATAATGGTGATGGGCCATTGATTGCAAGAAAACAGGTTTGGATGAAGACAAAATATTAGGTGACTGCGATCATGGAAAGTGTGTGCTTTCACCATAGCTAACCCTACGCAAACCTGGCGGGAAGAGTACAATGTCAGCATTTAAAGATGTAACGCAAATTGTTATATGTAATGCAACTTAAGGCTACTATATGCCATACACCTTGAAAATAGATGCAATATCCAAAGCCGCTGACCTATGGCAGGTCAAAGTCAGGTCATGGTCGTCAGCGCAGGGCATTTCTTGGGCGTCATTAACTGTGATTAACAACGGAGTGTCAGACGAAGCCATACATATCTGAGAGAGGTTTTTTAGACAATAAACCAATTTGATTTAGAATTACATCCAATCCCATTGACTTTGGGTCAGGTATGCAGGTCAGCATGAGGTCAAAACTAACCTGCCTTTTTCTCAAGAGATCGGTTTTATTGGACAGCTTTTGGTGACCATTTCAAACTTATCTATGACAGTGACTGCAACGAAATTTTCCATGGGCTTTTGCAAGTCAGAAAAGGTTACTGACCTAAACTGACCCAGGTAAACATTTTGTTTTCAGGAGCATACGGTCTAGCGTAATTCCCGACGCTGTAGGTGCTTAGTCGCCTTGACGTTATGAAGGTTAACCAAGGGCACTGACCTCATTCACCTTGTGCTTAGAACGTGTATCTAGCTTCACGGCGGTTGCGTAAGAAAGTCTAGGGGCACTTGAGACACCAATCTGGGGTTCGATCTTGTTTAACCTTATCTGACTCCAAGATCATGGCCTAAGAACCTCAAATTTTGGATCAAGTAAGCTCACGTACATGCCAACCTACTCTCTGAACTTGGTGTCTCTAGCTGTCTTATTTTCTGCGATTTCAGGGGGGTGAATTGATCCATCCTACTTGAGTGAAGGGCATTCAACCGGCCGCCCGTGCGCGTGTTAAGCCTAGCTGAAATTCAGTCTGGTTTATTTGTGAACAGTTGACTCTTGAGCTCAGATATCACATGATGATGTGTCGTGCGCATGATCCGAGGGCGGCTCCATCAGAAGCGTGACCATGATTACCCCAGGTGGGGCCAACTCGGAGCACAGGTCCCTTCCAGCCAAAGTGGCCCACACTTCGTCCCTGTATGGTCCTGTTCTTTATTGGGGTAATTTCGGGCTCGATAATGACATTGTGAGGCCTCGAGGGCTTAGTTTTGATGCTTAAGTAACCCTTAAGGCTCCTTAAACTACTAAAAGTGCTGGGAGCTCCCGCCCCCCTCCATGGGAGGGGGGGGGGGGGGGAGTTCTCCTTGGCTACGCCATTGAGCCACCGCGGGCAGGCTGTGGGCTCCCGCCTCCGCCGTCGCGCCTCCGTCGGTGTTGATGGACGTGGCGCCGCAGTTCGCCATAATCGAGCGTTGGTGCGATACAGCTGGGCGGCGCTGACGAGCTCTCTGGCCTCGCCGTCGCTGAAGGGCCTCGCGACACCGCGCCGCCCCTGGCGGACGGGTCCGGTGGCCTATCGGCGCGCCTGCCGGACGGGCCTCGTGACCCCGCGTCGTTCCCGGCTGACGAGCCTCGTGACCCCGCGTCGTCCCCGGCTAACGGGCCTCGTCACCCCGCGTCGTTCCCGGCTGACGAGCCTCGTGACCCCGCGTCGTCCCCGGCTAACGGGCCTCGTCACCCCGCGCCGTTCCAGGCTGAAGAGTCCGTGATCCCGCGCCATTCCTGGCGGACGCATCTGCTGATCCAACGTCCAATCACGTCGCGCCCCAGACCCCAGTCTCGGTCCGGATCCGACGAGATGGTGAGCGCGAGTGAGCGTCGCAGAATCATCTGTCGCGGGGGCTGGTGGTGAGAGGAGAGACCGGCTCTGGGAGTACAGCAGCGCCGCTAGAGAGTCGCCCTCGACCGCCATGCAGAGAGAGGGCTCCGTCGTGACTCTGGGCTGGACAAGGCACCAAGATGTCTTCACGGAGGAACTACGGGTGATACTAGAACATGTACGAATGTATGGGAGTTGGAGGCTGGAGAATTATTTGTCGGTAGTGCGCGTACATTTTGAAATGAGAGCAATACCGGACTTACCTTGTCGTTTAAGTCTCTCGTGTGGTAACCATTACCCATAGTTATTCGATATATTCGATATAGCGGTGCAGCATGAAGGGGCTTTTCCCGTGAGATACGTCATCAGTGCGATGGCTGAAAATTGTACAGCAGTATTGTTAATGCAATTAAATGCGGGTGTATAAGGAGACGACGTCTTTTAATTAGTGGTTTCATGTGTCTCTTATGTCACGGTCCCATTTAACAACCATAAGCATTCCAAATTTTTCCATTCAAAGAAATGCTGAAAAACACTGATTGGAAGGAGAAAGAAAAAGCAGAAAAACAACCATTGAACTGAAAATGAATGCGGGTCAATGCATAACTTTTTTACTAAAACGTTTTCAAACTTCACCATTGCTGCACCACTGATTTGCCGTATTTTCTTGTTCTTCCGACTTAGGTTACAATGCTGGCAATCGAAGCAGATAGAGACGCGAGATCAGCTAAAATATTGGGTAAACATGCTGTGAGCAAATCACATAGCAGTCTCAATGCCTTTTGATTCGTATTTGTTGAGAAAGAGGGCATTCTTTTCTTTTCTTCTGAGAAGCATTTCTTGAATCATGTAGCTGACATTTCGCAAACAGCTTACAAATACCCATCCTCATGCCCAAAATTTTCTCAAAATCTGCACCCAACCTCACCTCGCCGCCCATTCAGTTTGAGTACCCGCTGCCCAAGGTACAACACGAGTTGGCCCAAACTGTAACAGGTCGTGCCATAAAAAACTCAATGGAATCATGGTCTTTTCTCTCTTGCATCCCATGAACGGAGAACTGCATTAAGTTTTTAAAGCTCATGTGGAACACAGCTCGCGAACTCTCACTAATCAAGATGAATACCTGCACCAAGAAGTTTTACAAACGCATGCAAACTATGTGGGAAATTCCCAACGTTTTGAAAAGTGATAGCGGGCGTTCGACTCACGGCTCCCTAATGTACCCCATGTGCGCAGTCTTGTGCAAAGACTTGTACCTCTGCGATGCGATCAGATCACGTCAGGTGCTAGGTACTTTCATATTGCGCTGTAAATAGTCACTATCCTGAATCGCTGTCCATTTTTACAAAGAGCTTCGCGTTACGGTGCAATTTTTCAAACAACATGATCGAACAAAACCCTTGAGCAAAACGCAATTTGAAAAAGCGTGAGATGCGTTTGTTTAACGAAACCGGTCGCGCCGCCTGTCCCACACGAGCGGCATCTAACGACGCCTCCACCCTCCGCAGGACCCGCCATTCGTTACGGTCCGGGAAGGCGCTGCGGGCAACTTCACGTACAGCGGCTACCTGATCGACCTGTGGAACATCGTGACGGCCGAGCTGGGCTTGCCGTTCCGCCTGCTGCCGCCGGGGCCCAGTGGCTCAGGGGCGCTCCTGCAGAATGGCACCTGGACCGGCCTGGTCGGGGAGCTGGCGGAGAAGGTGACTCACGCGTCGTTCAGCGGTCGGGCAGAGCCTCAGCCACTCACAACCAGAGACTTCTAACCACAGCCACCTCAGAGACTTATAACCGTGGGCGTGTTGTAAATGTAGATTAGATGACAATTAGTTACTACGGGCAGTTAGTTTGAGTAGTTGGCCAGCGTTTTTCATGGACTGCCGGCAGGCCCTGGGCGGATAGTTGTGAGAGGCCTCATTTGCCTGGTTTAGAACACTACCGATGAGAGCATCAGTCATGCTTTGAGGTACAACAGCTTAATGGGGGCAGAAATACATCAGACATGGTACGCAGACATCAGATATTACATGTACTATGTTCATATGTACATAAACGCATACATCTAGGTGCATATATATAAACATATATATATATATATATATATATATATATATATATATATATATACATATATATATATATAAATGTATCATGTTATATGTATATATATATATATATATGTATAAAGATAAATATACATTTGTGTATATGAATATAATACTGAACCTTACGGCGGGTAATGAGATGTGTTTGGTGCCAAGGGGAAAGTAATCTGCTGGCTCTATAATTTTGGTCCTGCGGTTGTGCATTGGTACGTCAGGAGCTACGCTGTGCTGATGAGGCGTTACATGAAACTGAAACTTTGAAGGCTGTTTTGTTATATAAATATAAATATATATATATATATATATATATATATATATACATTTGTTTATCTATATACATACATATATACATATATAAACAGGTAATTTTGATACCAGGGCGGTATAAGCTTCAATGAGATGTTTATGGTAATATCTCATGCAATTTCTGGACGCTATCTGGTGTTTATGCATGGAGTTTCCATTCACACTTGTAATCAAATAAAGACAGACCGACAAACTAAGGCAATATGACATTTTGCATTCAACCCTGGAGACTCGAAATGAAGTATTCATAATTAGTTAGACTCTTAGAGCACTATCCACCTAACTGACGTCCAAGAAAACGAGCCCTGCTAGAAGACACCGATTCAACGGAATAGCACTAACATGCTATGGAAATGTTCCATTTCCGTTACAGTTAGCCAAGAAGAAGACACTTCATGTTATTAAAGGTGAAATACTAGTGTTGTGACTTGATTCAGAAAATAATGAAATGCTAGGGCCCCTCGAGACCGCAAAACATACACCAGGGAAACATTGGACGCCAGGCCAACTATGCAAATCGTCCAAGTCGCTTTGCAGTGCACCCGGTCATGCACGGTATTCTGTGGGCGTGGGGAAACAACTGGAAGTCGTTTTGGTGTGTGTTTTCCGCCTACAAACGGAACTTTGTCAGGTGGTGATAGCCATTCCAAGAGGAGAGCACCTAAATGTTCTTTTTGGTAGCCAACTTGCAAATTACAGCAGATGTCTTTAGGGAGTTTGTGAGCTTAGAAAGAAAGGAAAGTTGCACAGCTGGCAATGCCGCTCCAATCTAGTCAGAGGCTCTATATGATGGACAATTCTTCAGGAGCACGTTGTGCAGTGATAGTAAGTGGGGCAGAAAAATGGCAAACATCAAACAATGCGGGTAAACAATAAATGACAGACATAACAGCACCTGTGGAACGAACACTGACGTGTTGTTTCCACTCCCTGATTTGCGCCAAGACTGCGTTCCTTTCATTCTTACACACGTTGAGTGCCATAAACTCCCCAGCCGTCTTCCGGTTTCATGACCAGGTGTTATGATCGTTCCAGCAAACCCGGCATAGATGTTGAATTTTTTATTATCCGAATCAGCAGCGCTCAGGCTTCTTCATGTCCTCAGCCGCGTGTGTACCGCATTGCAGTTAAAATTCAGTACGCTCCTACTCCAGTGCGCCTTATTTTTCTGATGTCGCTTCTAGAACGTCCTCGACTGCAACGCGGCACAAAGCTGCTGTGCGGAACAGACCTGATCCAGGCGCATGCCCTCGACAGCAGCCAGGTCAGAGGGTGGAGCGATTGATGGCGGGCCTATTTGTTCGACGGCGTGGTAGTGCAAGCTTGACCGGGATCGAAGTAAGCCCAAGAGGCTGCCGTGCAGCCGGGCCTCTTTGTATATCGAGTGAGTGGGTGGTGTGCATACATTGCCATACGCCCTTGGCTGTACATGTTTTACGGAATCAGAATGAGCAAATTGGTTGCAAGATTTTATTTTTGCTAAAGATTTAGACATTATATTTTGAGTGGATGGATTTCTGAGCTCAGCGCCCACGCCACGCAAAGCATTGTTTGTTGCGTGAACTCAGACGCCGTCATCTTATCTTAAGATTTCGGATCAATGGCGGGGTCTGACGCCGAAAACCTGACGTGCTGCAACATCTGGCGCTGCATGTCCTACCCTGAGAGCTTGGGCCTGACGTCACCTGACCTTTACCGCGCCCGCTGCTGCTGGCCGCAGTCCATGCCAGCCACAGCCACATGATGAGCGCGTAAAGCGAGTCGCCCCCCCCCCCCCGAAATGAGAGAGTGGGTGAGCGAGTCGTTGGGGCCCTACAACCCACTCAGCTGATGAGGCGTCATGGCATTTCCCAGACGAAAATTATATATGTATATATATATATATATATATATATATATCGACATATAGCGTACAGGAATGACGCACTTCAATTTTATTCGCATGGACATTTGTTGGGAAGTTCTCCGGCTTAAGAAAGCATTGACGATCACGCATCATGAGATTGTAACATGATGCCTAATTTCCTGGCACACAAAACCATCAACAGTGGTACAAAACCGTTCCGAACATTGACTGGTGCTAGACGCTGCTATGTTGAAAGTGACGGCTTACTTGTAAACAAACGCACCTATTTCTCCTCTCTGCCGGGAAGGGAATGGGGCTTGGCCTATGACGTCATAGATAAGGAATGGGTTTGACCCGAAGTAGAGAATGACCTTCAATTTGTCAAAGAGGGGCCTCCGGAGTTCAGCAATGGTGGTGTTGGGGTCCACACAAAACGTACCGATTAGCGTGGGCGCTGGTCCCAGCGCTTTATCCAAAGCAAAATTTTGAACCAAATCTTGAAAAGATCCGAAAAACATAAAATGCCGCAGCGAATGCTTGGACCTATTTCGTATATCTTCCCGAATAAGGGCTAAATGGAGATGGGTGTCAACCACCCGCTTGCCTGTACGCGAACAGAACCGACCACACAGCAGCATATTCATCTCACTTAGCAAGTCAAGTTTCGCTGCAACACCGGCGAACGAGTGGGCCGGCCATCAATCTCTCCACTCCTCTGACTAGTCTGCTGCTGAAGGCATATACCTGGATTAGGACAGCTACGCATGGCATGTTTGTGCTGCGTTACAGTCTGTGGTTCCAGGATTTACCTTTGAAAATGAAGGCGCACTGGGGCGCGAGGGCACTTTATTTTTGCTGCATCCGGGCCCCATTCTAGATCATGTACTTGGGGGAGCGGAGCTGAATGAGTCACAATACGCAGACGTGAACCTGTTCTGGACCATGCACCAATAATCCCGACACAGGGCATCATCACAGCACACTGGCATCACCTGGCTCCGAGCCATCTGCCGGTGGGACCAGCGCCAGGTAAGCTGGTGCTTTCACAGCGTACAGACACGACTCTTGCCTAGACGATGTCCCGGTTGCCGATAACAATACTGAGCATATTTACAGCGCGCCGACGTGGCCCTGTCCTGGTTCTTTTACCGGGACGACCGTGCGACGGTTGTGGACTACGTCAAGAAGGTGCCCATGCACACCGGTGTGTACCAGTTCGTCCTGCGCGCCGGCAAGCGAACCCATTCGTCCATTTTCGACATGTTCGCCTCACTGCTGCGACCGCTGGACGGCAACGTCTGGCTCATGATCTGTGAGTTCTGAATTGCCGTCGTTCGCTCTGCTACTGCACCCAATAAGCAGCTGTCTGTGTGCATCACACCTCGACGGCAATTATTATGGGACAGCTGGCATAGATGAAAAACTATGGCTGGTCTTCAAAAACAGCTTTATGTTTTGTTTTCCTTAACCGAGCAGAGCATTTGTTCTTCAAAATCACTTGCTTAAAGGAAGTGTCCCATCTTTGGAGTACACTTCGAAACCATGCTTAACCTGCGCGTCACATGGATCATGTGATCCTCCCATTTCTAAAGGGTGACTCTAAAAAAGGTACTGTGGTAAATGCCATAGGAGAGAAACCAAACCCACCGTGTACCGATTTGTTGAATTCGCGGGATGATAGGTTCATGTGTACATTTTTGTCCAAATAAAGTGTTTTAAGCGCTTACAGCATTTAATGCACTTTTAGCCACATTAGGGTGTTGCAAAAATTACAGAAAACACTTGTAGGAAAGGCAAGGCAAACGAAATGTGCCTTTTTATAGCAGTGAGCAGGGAGTAAAATGAGATTTCTGTCGGAGAGTCGGCTACTTCAAATCAAAGCTGTGAGCTATTCAGAGGGATTTCAAGAAAACTGATATTGCAGGTCAAACCGCACGCGCCTGAGGAAACAATAAGTGAGAAGTACAAAAAGACGGGGCACTCTCTTTAACCCCAACAAATCTTTAAAAAAAACTGGAACAGTGCTATGTTTATGCTGTCTCTTCCGCAGCAAAGCTACGGAACACAACCTTGCCACGACGGGATTTCAATCCCACGATAGTCGCCCCGCCTGGGTTCCCGAAGACATGGCTCTTATACGAGCACTTCTGATTCCTGAAGGTCATCCAGTGAGGGCTCTCTTCTCACGAAAGACATTCCTGCTGTCTAAAAAGTCACCAGAGTGCCACGTTGTTGCTTGTTTACGCGTGTTCGTTACCTCGCGCGTACCGCCACTAGTGCTCCGTAGTGCTGCGCTTTTCTACTTAGGTGAGCAGAATTTCGTATCGAATTTGTTTGCAACGCACTCCTTCGTATGTAAATCCTTGTGTCATAAATCCAACTTTCCAGATTCGCAAGCACCGGCTGGTCCTGTGGCATTGAATGATACGTTGTCTGGGTCGACCCAATACAACTGATGCCGCCGGCCGTCAAGCCTGTTACGGTGCATGCCGATGGTCCTACTGCAGCGCGATCAAAGGCACCGGCCACCTACGAATGCTTACATAAATATGATATGTATATATATATATATATATATATATATATATATATATATGTATATATATATATGTACACATATGCACATATGTACATACATATACATATACATATATGTATACACATGTGTGTGTATCTGTGTGCATAAATTATTAAGTTTAAATTCCCACCGATCGCGCCAAGCAAAGACCACAGAACTGCCCAGCATTCTTCGACCCGTCTCAAACACCTCACGCGGGGGCGATCAACACACCCTCTTACGCTCATATGCGCCAGCTTGATCCCATGAGTTTTCGAGTATGCCAACTTTATCTTCACGCATCTACTCCCTGTACACTACTCAGTGGAGGCTCGATGCGATTTCGAAAACACCCTGATGCATTTCCGATGCGTACCGCACATCTGCAGTGATTGCTCTTCGCGCTTATGCCCATGTCAAATCCTGCCCTTTGGAGCTCAGGGGGCCTCTGAGCATCTCTCGGCTGGCAGCCTCACCCTCTGACCAGCCGGCCTACGCTTTGGTGCCCGCTGTTTCACGCTTCCGGCCATATATTAGGCAAACTCCATATGTGTTGCTTCACTTACGGCATTGACTTGTTCCCTTTCTGCAGAGTGGTCTGTCTTCTCCTTTCACGGTATAGGTTATCACTACAGCCAGCGGATCATACTTTTGTAGATGAAATTAGCCCTGATTCTCACCAAGATCTTTTTGCTATTCCATGGATTATGTGAGGCACATTCTTCGACGTATCTCCTCTCGCGATAGACCCAAATCGCAGGATGGGGTGGCGGCCTTCTCGGGGAGGGTCCCACTAATTGCCTGAGCTGCATCCATGTACTTTGATTTTTTCTGCTGAGCTTTACGCTATCCTGCAAGTTCTCTAAATCCAGAAAATCTGCTATTGACTCACTCGTTCTGACCACAAATATTCTCATCGCCTGTCAGACATCCAGGACAGGTTCTGGAAGTGCGGACCTGACCTGACTTGAGCGCTTCCGGTGCTGGCTCTGGTGGCATTAACCTGAACTGACCTCACCTAACCTGACCGCCTCCAGCGCTGTGGCTGGTGGTGTTGACCAGACTTGACCTGACTGCCTCCAGTGCTGTCGCTGGCGGTGTTGTCTTGTGCGCTGACGGTGCTGACCTCACCTAACCTGACCGCCTCCAGTGCTGTCGCTGGCGGTGTTGTCCGGACCTAACCTGACCGCCCCCAGTGCTGTTGCTGGCGGTGTTGACCGGACCTGACCTGACCGCCCCCAGTGCTGTCGCTGGCGGTGTTGTCTGGTGCGCTGACGGCCACAGTCCGCCTGAACCGCCGACGGGGCGAGAGTGACCTCATCTGCCGAGAGTTCACCTTCGGCTCCAGCTGTCTCGCCGCCTTCATGATGGTGACCAGCCAGGGCTGGGCTGTCACCCCTAACTCGGCGTCGGCTCGCATCGTCACGCTCTCCGGATGGATCATGGGTCAGTAAACTCTAAAGGTCACGTCGTCATGGGATTTTGTGTGCCGTCTTCTGTATGTGGATCGGAAGCCATCATATCTAACCGTTTTGCATAGAACGTACGTTGCACTCGGGGTAAAATACATATAAGGTACTGTCATTACATATGTTTCGTTTCTGGTTTAAAACATGCATATCATAGTCATGTGTTTGCAGCTGAAAACAGTGGAACAGTGAAAATTCTGGTGTCTGGAACAACAAGGGGATTCAACTATTCCCGTCATTTTATACCACATTCCCTTTCTACAACACGCTCGACACTGGACAGCTTATGCAACCGTTTGCGCGCGATAACCTCCTTCTAAGATCCCTCTCGTGTTTGGTCCCTGGCTGCGCTTCATCCATAGGCGCCTGACGCCGGGCTCGTCGGCAGGCATGCTGATCAGCGTGGGGTACACGGCCAATCTGATCTCTCACCTGGTGGTGGTGCAGCCCGTGGCGCCGATCGGCACTCTGGCGCAGTTCGCCGCCGAGACGGAGTGGACGCTGGCGATGCAGCCGAGCCCCGGCGAGATCGGAGACTGGGCGGTCAGGCACATGCTGCTGACCTGACCCTTGTTGGCCCTGATTCTGCTGCTGACCTGACCCTTGTCTCGTCCTGCTGCTGACTCGCTATTTGTCTTCAGACGTTTGACCCGTGTCTGATGTGCTCTCTGCATCAACCAGTCAGTGATTTGTGTCGACCTCGAGCAAACCTGTATTTTGTTTTGACACACCGCTACCGGCTGCTTGTTCTGCTTTTCTATTGACCTCACCGTTCTCCTGACCCGCACCTGACCTCTCGTCTGTCATGACCAATCACGACCTGGTCCAATGTTACCCTTGTCTTGACTTATCTCTGATCTGTTCCCTTCCTGGACTTGGATCTGATCTGTCCTTTGTGCTGACCTGTCGGGGACTCTACTCTGACCTATGATTTGTCTTAACGTGCCTGTAATCTGATGCTTGTCTTGGTTCACCACTCACCTGTTCCTTGTTTTAAACTGCTGACTGAGTCATTGTGTTGACATGTCCCTGGTACCCCGTCTGCCTCGGTCCATGTCCGTTCTGTCCCTTGTCCTGTTATGCCGCTTAGTTTTGTCCTGTCATGACACGCTACTTACATTTGCCCTTCCTTTATCTGTGCCAAGTTCTGGTTGTCGTTGCATTGTTACCTTTTCTAATCCGCTATTGCACCTGTCCTTGTTTTGGTCTTCCACTGGCCTGTGACTAATTGACCTCTTAAAAAAACTTGTGTATTTTTTAATACGACGCTGATCTGCCTGGCGCTATGCTGTGCGATGTCTGAACCGTCGCCCCACAGGGATCGCTGTCATATTCGTCTTTTAATGGTGACCTCAGAGGCCTGGCTAAGACCTCGAAAAGCCAACAGGCTGAGCCACGGAGAAAACCCCCCTAATTTGACCGCTTTTATCAAACTACATCGGATGGATGCAACTAAACAAAAGTAATTATGACCTTTAACAGGTCAAACAGACCATAGCGGTCAAAAAGGCACTTTGTAGATCACTCTGCCATCTCAAAAATTGCGTATCCGGCAAAAATGCGGGAACCAACTCTGACGCTCTATGACGGCGTTGAACATGAGTGGCTCTTGGAAACCTTTATCAGATGGGCACTATGGGGAATTGACGCAAATCACATGCCATGACAGGTCGAAAGAGATAACGCCGTTACTGAGTCGTCATTAGCCCACACGGCCATATTAAGGGCTGAACGAAGGTTCTCGGGTCACCACATCGATGTAGGGTGTTATGCCTGAAAGTGGATGCATAACCTGTTAGATGAGCAAAGTTTAGAAGAAAATGATGTGAGGGTCCTATTTTTTCGAGTTTGCCATCATCAGCTGATTAGATAGCTGCAAAGAAGGGGAAATATGAGGCTACAAGCTACCCTTCCCAGTCAATACCATCGCTCAGCCTAATGATGGTGAGCGTTGAAAATCCGAAAGCGCAAAGATTTACATCAGCACACCGAAAAACATCACATGTATAACTTAACTACCGACACGTAATGCAATTCGCACTATTCGAGAGCTCCTTGCTTCTCGAGCCCTGTAACTGCTACTACCATGCTACTTTTCCTTTATGGCATTAACCATGCTCATCTTGCATAAGTGTCGTTCACTGGAAGCATCAGTTTCTCCTGTGAATACTAGGCAATGTGTTTAATTCCGAGATCACCATCATGGCATGGCCATCAAACTTCGCTGGAGCTCCGTCTCAATCCTGGGCTCTGGAACCGTCCTTACGTAAGCCATGTACAAAAAACATGGCACGATACACGGAAAATAGGTTCAGGAAAAGTCAGAAAAGTTCAACGACCTGCTCTAGACTGTTTGGAAGAAAGAAGCTAAGGCTGTCAGGGATGCGGCATTCGTGCCCTCCCCGTCTGGAATGGGTTAAGCCTTAATACCACTGACCTGCTTGCTGTTGGGGATATGGTTGGAGCGTAATTATTGCAATATGAAAAAGTATCATGATAGGGGTAGTTACAGGCCTCGAAAAGAGAAAGCTCCCGAGCAGTGCGAAATGCATCAAGATTCGGCAGTAAAATTACATACTGGACACTTTCGGTGCACTGCTGCGAAGTTTTGCACTTCAGACAACCTAAACACGCATTTTATATATACAATGGCAAAGACGCGTTCACGATGCGTGACAAATGGTACAAAACGAACCAAGTCTCAAACCTACAAGGTTTGTAATTGCAATAAGAAATGCACAGCTGTCCTACCCGGTCGATGTGGTTGATAGTAACAGCACAATAATGCACCGTGGTGCCCTGAATGACTGTTCGCATATGTGAAGCTACCAGAAGGAAAAGAAACATTTTTGCGCCGAAATGTTAGAGATGAGAGCGAAGGGAAAGGGTCATGTAATTTGGAACATCAATGACAACAATGAAACGTTGGGTTTCACTGTTCACTTCTCGGCAATAAACATCGTCTTAAAACTCTGCCAGAGGCGAGTTTAGGCATGACAGAAGGACGTCGGTAGGATTATAGCACACAGCAACACTAATACCACTGACAGCGGACTGTTGGCGGCTGTTGCGGTAATGAACCATGCTAGTCATTTGCCCCCCCCCCTTGGTACCATCCCCATACATGATATATGGGTAACATTATTTATTTATGGCGTATAGCAGTGCCGTGGCCGACAGTGATATATACCATTAACTTAACATCTCTTTTTATCACCCCAATAGGGATCCTGACCCCGTCTATGCCAACATTTTTTATTGTACCTCGTCTGATGACAAACACCCATCATCCACTCTGCTCCCCATACGCTCAAAGAAGAGCTTGTGAAGACCTCTCTGTATTCTCCCTTTAAAAATGTTTGTCTCGTAGAGGGAAAACAAACACCGTTTCCAAAATCGATCCAGTTTTTCCTGAGATCTTGGCGGAAGGGTGGATGTGGAATCTTCTTCCCCTCATCTGGAATAGGTGTATCAGGGAGCGCATTCGAAATTGGGTTAATGGCATTCATCTACTCTCAAGAAATAACAAGCTGTATCAGTGGCAAAATCACTGCTAGGGAAACCATTCCAAAGTGTAAATTATGTGTCATTATCTATCGACATTTAAATCGCATGGCCTTCAACGGGTAAAATTTGCTTGAATTTACCAATACCTTGCTTGACGCCGGATAACTTAACTTAAAAAAGCTAGCACAATAGTAATGCACTTCAGAAAAAAATCGATATGAAGAAGTCCATCCTTGATTTTTGGAATGTGTCTTCTGCCGCATCTGAGCGATTTTCATGATATCTTGTACGCGATGTAATGTTAACAGCACAAAAATGCGCATAGGGATGTACACACTTATAAAATATGCATAGGCTGTTGTATAGATATATCATGTGCAAGACAAACTGTCACATACATGACATCCAGAAATGCGTCCCAGATCATAAGCCGACAAGTTTAGAATCCTCAGATGTTCACATGCGTAAGATTGATTTGCATTGTATTAGCATTGTATTTGCACTGTAATATTGTATCGCAACTTACATAAGCTTAGAGTAAAATGAGCTTAAAATAAACTTAAGATCGTTCGGCATGTATTCCCGTACGATTTAAGAGGTGGTTCTGAGACCCCGTACTAGAGCGAGGGTAAACGTACACCTGGTCTGTGCCTTCTCTTGATACACCGACTACGTGGCCATCGCCTTCAGCCGCGCGGGCCTTGACTTGTCCGTGCCCTTTGTCCGGCTGCTGACAGAAGAGCTCAGATCCAACCGAGCGCCATCTGTACGACCGGGTGGTGTCGGGGGAGCGACTCCTCCGGCTGGACGGCACCACACAGACCTTACGTGCCGCCGCTCAGCCGCGCACGCTGCTCTTGTACGACGCCGAGCTCCTGCTCACGGCCATCGGCGAGGAGGCGTGCCAGCTGATGCCGCTGCCGGAGCGACGCCGCAGCCTGGCGCCCAAGTCCTTCTACATGGTGCTGAGGAAGGGCCTGGCGCCGCACGTCACCAAGGGCATCAACAGAGTGCAAGTATCGACGGTCGTAGGGGCGGGGGAGGGCGGAGGAGGGGCACAGCTTTGACACGAGTGAGGCTGGAAGCATGCATGGTGTAGCATGCTGTTCCGTGCTTTCACGCGCTGGACGTGAACGCAGGAATGGTGCATGGTGCGATACATACCGGAATGTCTGTATTTTTAAATATTGCACACCATATTCGGTATTTGTCAGTCCCATTTTCTCTTTCATTCATAGTGTCAGATACACATCTCTAAGTAATATGGCATTGCTGTGTGGTTTGTTGTTAGCTGCCTTTTCCGTTAACACGCGCCAGGTGACCGGTTGAATACCCTTCGCTCGGGTAGGGAAGAGAATCAATTCTCCCGCTCTCCCGAGATGTCAGAAAGTAAGAAAGCTAGACACACCACATTCACATGGTGTATCGGCCTGTACTCGAACTCACTTGTATCAAAATTGAACGTTCCTAGGTCATAACTTTTAGGTCAAAAAAGGTCAAAAAGTCAAACACCACATGGGCGTCCAAAGTGCCCCCCCCCCTGCCTTTCCATGCAATCGCCGTGAACCTAGATGTTTGTTTTAAGCAAAAGGTCACTGGTGCTCATTTGAGGTCAGGAACATTGTTCGACCTTGAAAAGGTCATGGTTACCGAAGTCATACAAGAATGCTTTGATTTTCCACGTGAATAGGCGTCAAGGATTACGCTAGGCAATATTTTCCTAAAAACGAAATATCGACCCAGGTCATTATTGGTCAGTGATCTATTCTGACCTTTAAGAAGTGCATGGCAAATGTATGGCGTGGTTCCTGTTATCAAGAAATTCAAAATGAGCACCAGAAACTACCCATAGTTTTCAATGCTCACAGCAAGCTTTCGAATAAACAAGTTTGGTTTTTACCTTGATCTTACCTTCCCACCTGACCCTGAGTCAATGGGATTTGCTAAGCCAATGGTTGTGTTGCCTAATAAACTATCCCAGACAATTATGGCTTTGTCTAACACTCCGTTATTACATCAGATCAAACGGTTCACTAGAAACGATTTTCGTTGAATTCACAGACGACTTCGACCTACCGGATGTCAGCGACCTTACTAACAAATCTAATACTTTGATACCTTAACATTTGCCTTCAACTGCCCACAGCTATGCGAAATTTGGTGCGGCTACGCCACGCCGCTTGGAAATCCTTCCCGAAAAACCTTTGGGAGTTCAAATTAACCTCCCACCGGAGCACGAGTTAACTTTTCGCGCAACACATTCCTTTGTTCAGCACTATACCTTACCCAGACATGTTGTTTTGACCACAGAGGATCGTTGACATAGATCGTTGACACAAGTTAAATGTAAAATTGGAGTTCCGCTCCAATCAGTTTTGACACTGCTCACAGATGCTGTCAGCGAAAAAGCAGCATCACTAGCAGCCAAAGGCATTTCGTTCGAAGAAAAGACAAATCACACACATGGCCTACATTCACCTGTGTCAAACACAGTTGGCTCCCGCGGATCGTACATATATTGCTCTTGGCGCAACGCAAAATCGTTACAGCGATAAGTTCAAAAGATCTTATTAGGTAAAACGATCAAATACCAAAAAATGTGCTTTCTCTGACGTGACCTTAACCCTCACCCCAGACAACAAAATGACTTCAGTAAATGTAAAGCTTTTGCATTTGGCATGAAAATTTGTTTGTTTGTTTGTTTATCCCTTTCCAATTCAAAGACGCTGGAGGGTAGGTACTATGTACCTCCCCCCCCCCCCCCAGCCGAGGCGTAGCTGGCGCCAACCACTGTCAGTGCACGTCTCACAAATTGCGTTGCTTTTGTAACGCCCGGCTGTTCAGTCAAATTTCACGAAAGACACTTGTCCCTACAAAGGTGTCCATGTGATATGTGTATATGAGGCATTGGTGATATATATGAGGCATGAAGTATGTATTTGCCAGAGACAGTAGGCATATTATCGTGTGTATCAACTATTTTCCGGCAAGTGGCCACCGCTATTTTGCGCTCATCACGACACGGCGAGAAATTGCCCTTCGGGAAACTGTGGTGTAGTCTGGGATTGTTCGCTATTTTCGGTACTCACTTCCCTGCTGTCGACAAGCATAACGTAAAGTGCTGCAGTTTTATCGATACCTTCCATTGCCACGCACCACATCAAAGCCAAAGGACGTTTTATCGGCCAGGCAAAGGGGTCTCTAGAACGAGACCTCTTTTTGCTCTGTGGGCAAAACTGCGTCCCTCCCTCCGATCGGCCAGCGCTACGCTCTCTGCAAACTGTGACAGTGGCCTAACGCTGCCCCTTCATCACCTGCGCTCGGCTTCGTCTCCGGCTTGCCTCCCCGGACCCTGTCAGCTGGTGCATCACTGGTTCGCTGGCGGCTGCGTCCACCTAACTTACGGGACCGTTTCACGGTAGACGTTTCACGTTTTCAGATTCACGGTTTCAGTTTTACGGCTTTCACGTTCATTCACATTCACATTCACATTCAGTTTCACGGTCTCCAGAGGGCTGCCCGTGTCATCAAGGCGTTACGTTGCCAGCAATTCTGTCATTATCGCTAGCGTTTAGGTTAGGTCATTAGGCTGTGGAGGGATATGAAGATGCGTTTTGATCATTAAGTGATATGACGCTGGAATGTATGTGGATTAATGCTTAGCACGGTGTCTTCCAGCACCAGGTTTGTTATCTTGATTGGCGATTTTCCATCAGCGAGGAAATGGTTGGTAATGCATGCAAACTGGACACCACTTTGTGCCGCAATAAAGCATGTTTATTCAAACAGATTATGCATTATTGTAACGCTGCCTGGACTTTTTTGTTCCTTTTCTCCAGTCTTGACGAGCCAGAGTTACCTTGTCAATGTGCTGCTTGACGATTACAATTGGACGCTTTGCAACTTGTCGACAATTAACATATTGGCCCGGCATTCCAGAGACCCGGTTCTGGGTCCCGGTAGGTGGACACCAAGTTTCCGTGCTATCCGGCAAACAATATCGTTAAGCTGCAAAGTGGCCGTGCAATTATGACTCATGGCAGTTGAAGTAGCTGAGTTAAAACAGTTTCACGCAAACGTTGGCATTTCCAGCAAGAAGAAGCCTCGCGGCATAATCTTTTTGTTTGCAGCATTAAAGGAGTGACTTAAACTAAAACTCCATAATATTTGAGTAGCAATGCAATCCCGTGGATTAACACATTATTTGCGTTGAAATCGTTTGGTCACAACGGAGCACTATCAGTACCAAAGAGAAATCAAACCTTTGATACAACGAAGTGATATTGCATGAATGACACAACGCGCGTGAAAACGGGCGAGCTAATGCGCAGACTTGCCAGGGCAACTCAAGACAACTTGATGCTGCAAAAACCGTACATGATGATGTCACGTGGGTTTCGAACAAAATTATTTCCCATTGCAATGATAATCACCTGACTGGTCTGTTATCGCGCTGTGGGCGCCATCCGAAGTCTCCCTCGTGCCAACCCCCCTCGCCCCTCCCCAACGTTCAATGTTCGGCGCCACGTCGAACTGCTACCAAATGATGTTCATCGAACGGGCGAGCTCACGCTCAATAACGAATAGAAGCATGGCTGATCGACGGTCTGCCCATAATGCGAGACACCCGTCGCGCGCTTACCGAGCATGTATGATGCCCACAATGATGCCTCCAATGAAGCCCTCCCCTGCCGCTCTCCTTTTACATGTTGCTTATA